TCAGATGAGCTGCAGCTCCATCCTGTGGCCCACCCCGGCTGGGGAACACCTGCCCATGCTGCTGCTGCGGCCCCACCCCCTCTCCCTCCCTCACCACAGGGGCCTCAATTTGCCCCCTAGCATGCCCTTTCCCCCCCTAATTGCTCCCCTCTGCCCCTTCCCCCCCAGACTCACCAACTAGATGCTGCTCTCCAAGCTGTCAGGCTGCATTCCTGGTCGCGTGCATGCTGCACCTGCGCCCATTCACATGGCAGTTATCAGGGACATTATCGGCCACATCAGTCAAAAAAACTGATTGCTGATAATGTCAAGCTTCCTTTTATCAGTCCCAATATGATACAGACTGATGCACTGGTGCATGTCTAATATTAACTTTGACTCCTGAGACAGGCTGTTTCTAGCCTACTAACCTACAAGCTTACTTCTCTGAGTTCTGCAGGTTCTCATAGTCAAAGACAAGACAGATTCCTCCCATTTTATGGTTCATTTTTTTGTAACCAATTCTTTGTCCCACTGTGTGTGTGTTGTGATGGAGGGCTTAAAAGTTAGGAAAGGAAATAGAAGACTAAAAATAAATAATTAAATAATGTATGTGATGATGATTCACTGCAAGAACCAGTGAAAAGATTCCTGAAGTGACTTGAATGACTTGGGAAACCTCTTTAATTCATTCAGTGTGAAACCAGGTTTGCCTAACTTTAAAGTCCCAGATCATTCAAGCACCAATATATATGAGTAACATGAATCTACTTCAGACCTCCCTTTCTCTCTTTATGCAAACCTAATTTTCCCCACCCCTGTCATCCTAGACTATCAATATTCAAATCATATATCAAAAGTCCCTTGTGGAAACTGGATGGTCACAAAAATCCACTTTTATATAGGTGGCAAGACAATAGAAGTATGTGGGCAAATTTTGACAAGTCTCAGTAACTATGATTTATAGAGTCATTCTAGAGCGTACAAATTGGTACAAATATTGTTAACATATAGATACAAACATATCTAATCTCCAGACATTAATGCAATGTCTTGAGTGAACTGCCAAGAAAGCAGAAATGGAATTGGTCAAGACAGTGAGGTAAAGACCATTCCTTTCATTGCTTTTGTCACAATGGTAATCCAGTCTAGAAAGCAATGAGGAAAAATGATAATGTTTCCTAAGAGGACAAAGAAGACAAATGATCCATTCCCCTGCTATCTTCAGAATAAGGGAATACCTGCAAAAGTTTCCAGCGCATATTAAGATCATCCAGTTGGCGAGACATCTTTAATGATGGATGAAGGTCAAGTGGAGAGAGCTGATTGGATAAATCATTCACTGTTTTAACTTTTAAGTTGATGGGTGCAATTTCTTCTCTAAAAGCCTGAAAGAACACATGCATATTTATGCCTGACCACTACCTTACAGAACAAAGTGAAAACTGGCACACCAAACCAATACAAATCTATATTTGGTTGTGACTGATATGGTATTGTGACATGGAAAAGCTAAAACAACTGCATGCAAAGAAGGTAACTCCAACTAGAACATTGTAAAAAAAAACAGGTCATTTATTTCAATAATCTTGGCTCTAAAGTATTGTCCCTAGCTATAAAACTTCACTCTTTCCATACCTGTGCATAAGATAAAGCCACAACTTATGTGCAACATAAGCCTTCAAACAGGGTATATATTACATTTTAGAGGTGCCTAGGTTTTATATAGCCCTGTACACAATGACTACATTCCATTCAATAAATACCAGAATGATGTGATACCCCATTATGAGTTTTACTAATTGAAGATCTATATGAAGGATTCTTAAGCAAATTTATTAAATAAAAGTAATTATTGTTCCCAAGTGGAAGGCTGCTGACAAAAACTCTTCAGAGACTTTATTATTGAATTAGCAAAGCACAAAGCTGTGCATCTTCCTAGGTAAAGGAATACAATAAATGAACTGCATCAGTAATTCTTACTGCAGAGTTAAAACTATTAAAATGATTAAAAACTAAGCAGAAGAAGGTTTTCTCAATCAAACTAAGCTAAATATAATATTAAAACAAAATTGAAGTGGTTTTCATTATGGTTGAAAAGATGCATTAAATGCCTTTCTTGCTGTGAGCAGGTGGAAGTAATGGGTTGATGCTACAAAGGGCCCACTAAGCATTACAAAACAAGGGAAAAAAACAACTGGAAAAAAGAAAAGGGTTTTTTGGACAATTCAATTACTACTTCTTCCCCTGAAACTCTCTCTAATCTGTTCTATTAACATGAGGCACCTACTGACAAGAGGGGAAGAATTTGGTTTCTGACTGCCAAGACGCTCCTATGACTCCAGCAGATGTTTCTGTTTTTCACAGCAATGACAGTTTAATAGACACTGCTTTACCCTCTTTTACAGAAAAGCCATCAAGATATGACAAGCTTCTTAACACATGGAGCAACATGCTAGAACTTGTTTTTGTATCTATATTAAAATAAAAAAGAAAGAGAGATCAATGCCTTACTCTTCTTAAATCAACAGCAGTCTGGATGTAAATTATTATAACTAATTTGGCTTAAAGTTTTTAGGTTCTGTTTAACCTGAAAGTCAGAGAAAAACTTTAGAAGAAAGGATGCTTGTGTAAACATGCACAAAATGAAGCAGCCAAATACATTACTTATAAATAATTGAACATTTGCACAAAGCTTTGAGATGCATATAAAGATGGAATTCTTACTGAAAAGTGACCACAGTTCAAGGCCCTCAATTCTTCCATTAGCAACTTCAAATGTAAATACTAAGATTAGAGATAATGTCACGACCTGAGTATGGATTTCATCAGTTGGACTGTGGGTGCCCATATGCTGGAATTAAAGATTTTTCTGGTGGAGCTGAAGGACCGAGCATTTCTGGATAGGAACAGTATTTGGGTGCCAAAGAATGTGCATGAAGGTGTTAGAGTTGCCTTAACGTGCAGTTTTCCTGAAGTTCAGTTATTTCATTTTTCAGGAATGCATGCGAGTAATCTTATCTATAAGGCAACAATAGATCTTATGCAACCGTTTATATACTTACACTGTGTTCATGTGCATATGTACTAAGTGAGAAAGAATTTAGTGTTTGGAGTCCCATGCCAGCCTAATACAAAGAAAACTATATTCACAAAGAATGCCATGCTTACTGTAGTTTTCTCAATGTGATCCTGCAATGAGTCAATCACTAAATCTCCTACTGGTTTCCAGCCATTCCTCACATTCTCAGCCTCTTTCAAGTCAGCATCAAGGTCATCCATGGCACACTGCAAGTCCTTCAGTTTCTCCAAGGCTTTATCTACTTGCTTCTGCCAGATGTTGGCACTGGCATTCAGGCTTTCCCATTTCTCTTTTACTTCTGAGGACTGCTTACGCATAGCTTTAGCAATCCTCAATGCTTTCTCTTCAGGGGTCAACTCTGAAGTGGAAGAAAAAAGAAGTTCGGTAGTTTGGGGTATTTTCATATATGCACGTTTGATTGAGCAGATTAAATACTGTGAGGCGTGTAATTCAGTAAGCCTCTATCTGAGCTGTCCACAGCTCATTCCTACCCTGCAGAGTCTCTTTGAAATTACAAAAATGCCCATGCTGACAAATAAAAACACACAATGTAGCTAAGTTAATTGCTAAAAAGTCATTGCTCATTTCCATGTATTATGGACTACAAAAGCCTAAGGCTGATTATTACTATGTGTGCTACCTGGCCAGGGGTGGGAGCGGGGGTGAGGAAAAGATTATTTTCCTCTGCTTGAACCTGCAAGAGTAATCTGAAGGCTACCTCACTGCCCCTATTCATGAACATCTCCTTCCCCTTCCCCTTTTCCTTCCCCTTCCCACTCAAGTCATTTTTCTGTTTTATTTCTTTGGCAAAGTGAATGACACTTTCTCAGTGCATCTGAAGTACTTCAGCAGTTCTGCAACAGTAATTTTATATTAATGTCATAGGCAAGCCATGGTGTACTGCAAGTCTAGAACTGAAAATCTCAGCAAGAATACCCCAAAAAACACATTTCTGTGAATGGAAATGGGCTGAAACTGAAAAAGTTATGAGATTAGTTTCTATGCAAGACTTTTAAAGAGACATTAACAAGAAGGAGAAAGCAATAATCTAAAAACTTCCAGACAAAATGTAGTGTTAAAGACCATACTTTTATACAAGCACAATGATGGATTATCCGATTACTTGGAGATAGCAAGGGAGTTTTCATTTTGATTAATTTTGGAACTGTTAATATTTCGGATCTGCTATCACCTTTTCAAGAGTAATTTGAATTGATTAGAATTCAGTGACAAAGAGGAAATTTAATTTCAAAAGTTCTGGAACTACTTTAAAAGTGTGTGTGTGCGTGCGCGCGCGTGTGTGTGTGTGTGTGCGCGCGTTACTGCTGTTACACAAAAAATGCTGTATATATTTTACATTTCTTTTACCTCTATAATGCACTTGCAAATAACTGCTTTGTAGTACAACAAAATCATTTCAGGTTTGATTTAGAAAATACTAAGATGCTGTTATATAACTAAGAACATTTCAGGGTTAAAAAAAATAGCAAGCCCTTCAAGGCCGCGTCCAGACATGCACAGCCTTGTGGCATATGGCACCACAGACACAACTGCAGCATCATGTGCCATTCAGTTAGTTGTTCTCCACACTGCAAGGTAGCAGTGCATGGGTTCTTTTCACCCTAGGAGATCACAGAGTCAAAAAACCTGTGCAAAAAAGAAAAGAGCAGCAGCAGTGCATGTGGGTGCAGTGTATGCCACCCAAAACCAGAGCCAACCCCCTGGAGCCATGCTTCGGCTGCCGGCCAAGCTCCAAGCAGCAGGATTGCCACTACTGCAGCCTCAAGAGGCCCCCAGGACCCTGCCAGGTAAGGCTACTGGGGCCAACCCAGTGTTGACCCCAGCCTCCCCTACCCCACCCAGGGTAACCTGCTGCGCACCAGAGGGCACGTGGCACAGGCATTCTCCAAGGACAAGTAACAAAGGCATAACGTGTGCTGCTGCTTCTTGTCCCTAGGGAAACAAATGTCCATGCTTATGTGGACTCAGCCAAGAGGTTCTAAAGACCCACATAAGGTGATAATGGTGGCTTTGAATCATCACATGTTGCTCAGCCAAAAGACCTCAACTCTTCAGGTCAGATAACAAGTGATAATTTAAAATGCACAAGTTACCTAGTGTCTTAAAACTTCAAGGAAAATGGCAGATCTCACTGTAAGCTCTATGTTGGTTGCTTGAAGTAGGACTAACAGTCAGCTCAAGGGAGGCCTATTATCCAGTCTAACTAGAAGACAAACTGCATGAGAACAGCAGTTGGGTACAGAAATCAGTGAAGTACGCTACGTGTATTAGGAGAAGATATCATAACGATACAACAGCCAACTCTGATGTGATGGTAATTGTGGCATCAAAAGCAAGGGACAGGCAGTTTTACTTCCCTTTCCTCTCATATGACACGAGGTGTGGTAATAAGAATATAACAGAATAAAACACAAGGCATTTTGGAGACCTTTGACAAGTTCTGTGTGTGTGAGGACAACTAATGCATTTTTTAATTTGAAAAGCAGTAGCTGCATTAATAATGTTTTGAGATGGGTTAATTTTCAAAATGCCTCAGAAGTGCTTGAAAACTTGCCTTAAAAACACAGTTACCATGGACAGATTATAAAACCCATTCAGCATCCATTCATTTCAGAATGTGCACTGTATGAATGTTTGTGCCACTGTGATAACCCAACATGTAAAAAAGAACATGATTTTTTAAAAGCGTAGTGCATATCTGCAGAGAAATGTGTTGCACAGTTTAGAACTACAGATCATCATAAAGGAAGATTTAACTAATTTCCTTAGGGTACAAAATCTTTTCATAAGTCTGTCATTAAACAAGCTGGCAGTTGTATACAACTCCTTTCTACTTGTAACAAAAATGCTGTACAGTTTGTTGCTTTGTCTTCACTTGGTATGAACTCTTCTGATTGATCAGACTCTGTTGGGGTTTTTTGTTGTTGTTTGGTTTTTTTTATGGTACTTATTACATTATCTCGACTTCAGCAGCTGCTCAAAAAGCTAGAAAAGCTCTATATTCATCAGACCATCTGTTTATCAGAGAGGAAAGATATTAATAACTGACCTTGGAGTCAGGAAAATGAAAACAAAAAAACCCACTACTACTGGGGCACATTATTTTAATAAGCATCTCTGGTTAAACTTAGTGATGAATGTAACAATTTTTTTTCTACATTGCTGATGATGATGACCTGAAATAGAATTTAATCTTTTTAAACTGAGGTTTAGAATAAAATTGAAAGACAAGCAAGAGAGATTTAATATTATGGACAACATGTAAGCAGAAAAAGTATTATGCATGGGTTCATTTTGAATAAGTTAGGCTGTTCTAAGCTCTAGAAGTTGTTTTGTTATTTTGGCTTGGCTTTCTAAAGCACCCATACCTTTGTATTCCTTAGTCCTTGAGGTTGACTGGGACTGGTGGTCTGTTTCTATGCTACTATAGCCAGACTTGATTTATACTGCATTGTTCTGTTCTTCACAGCGCATGCCAGAACTGTAGGTGAATTAATGTCCCTCCCCACAATTATATCAAATATGTTTGTTCTTGTACCGTTCAGTGAGGCTTTGCAGTAAAAAGCCATGGGCACAAATAACACTGTCATTATGATGAGCACTTTCAGCACATTTAAGCACGTACAATACAACACTGTCAAAGCTTATAAATAGAAGAATCCAAAAGTACTGTCATCACATGATTATGTCTTTAGCATCACATGAATGAAAAGTATTCTCTTGAGTCTCTAAAAACCCTGGCAAAAACTTGCCTGTGACAAAAAGTACTACACAGGAACAGGAACTTCAGAGAATGTGAAGCAACTGGCTTCTGCAAAAATGTAGCAATTAGACAAATTCAAAGGAACCAGTCATGCAGGCATTGATACAGAATGCCACCAGTTTCTCATAGCTTAAATATCTATCGTATATACAGCAAAAAAGGCGGGTAGTTGATCATTTTCATCTTAACCTATTTGGTTTTTCTTCTCTCAGCACTGAAAGTTCTTGACATCAAAGAAAATATAATTGAAAAAAAAAGATAAGGAAAAAAAGGCCGTAGGATAAAAGACATTGCTTTTATTCTGAAGATGACAATTGCTAGAAGCACAGAGCACTGAATATCTGGCGTCTGAGTTTGTGTATGGTGAGTATTTCTGGAAAGAGCAGAGTATGGTCTTCAGTAGGGGGAAATGAGAAAGATACTTGTAATGTATGTGTCCCTTGACACTGGAAGATGAGATTTCCCAGCAGATGCTCACCGAGAGGTCAAGACAATTATACTGGGACTGAAGAAAATTGAAGCACTAGAGAAGAACATGAAACCCCAAGTCCTGCAAAACTGCACATTTGAGCTGCTCAGAAAATAAATCTAAAGCTTATGCATAAGAGTTTCTATTTTTGAAAATAACCCCAGAAAAATATAACTATTAGAAAGTCATTTACTATTTTGTTCATTAAATATTATTTCTATTTTGCAAAAAAAGTGTTATGACCTCAAATAAAGGTCACAGTATTTTTACAAAATAGAGATAACTAAGAAAATAGGAAGCCTGACTCAGTATTGCTATACTACCTTTACACCAGCTCCCTAAAGCAACTGCTGTAAGAGAGATCCTTGGAGGCCACAGAGTTGCTCTCTAACTCACCCTGCCTTCTCTACTTTCCAATCCCTAACGAACAAGACATTCTAGAGAAAAGCAGCATGACTGAGGAACCCCTAAGCCCTAATGACTCCAGGCACCCCAGGAAGTGGTCCTGTGCTGCTGCTTGATATATTGTTAGAAGATATGAGGGCCTCATACTCCTCCACCAAAGACCAATCAGGATTTTACTGGTACAAATGCCCATGACTGGCTACTCCCTGAAGACACTGGAGTTGCCCATCCACTAAGGATACATGAGAGGGACACAGGACACCTTTTCTCTGCAAAACAAAACAGGCAAGATTTTGTGGGCAGTCCAATGTTACATGGCCTGGAGGTATACCTTAGTAGTACAGATATTTCAGATATCTTGAGCTCTGAAGTTTTTAAGGTTCCCCAGCATGTCTCTAGGTTTTTTAACATGTTTGACATTATTTCATCTGGTTTACAGTTTATACTTTGCTATATTGAGGTTGGTTTACTACGTAGTTGGGCTCTGCTAATTCTGGAATTTAATTTTTTTTTAAAGGCCACTTGTCATCAATCAAATCAGCTGCACTCTTTGCCTTAAAGAGAGACCTCACACAGACTTTGGTGGCTTGTGGAATATTTGTAACCAAGTGTCAGTGAACCCTGAACACTGTTGCTCCAGCTTCCATGGGGGCGGAAGTGGTGAAGTGTTTGGGTAACATTTCCAAGCTTAGTCAAAGGA